CCGTTTCTTTCCAATTGTTTTGCCCCGGGCCTCGTACGATGATTCCGACTATTTCATATATAGTTTATTGCATTCAGGTTTGCTTCCAAATTTTACGTTTTRATCACATAAACACGTATAAAGGGGATAATTGCAACGTATTTGCGAAAGTGTATGTTACATCATGAGATGTGAGAGTCAAGGAGATCTCTACCCTGTCACCAACCAAGTCTCCTCCACTTACACTTTTCCTGTTGAAAAAATATTCGAGTAAGATAGATGAAACAAAATAAAGTTTTAATCTTTATAAAAACTTTAAATCTTTAACGAACAAAATTAAAGCTTTTAGAGTTCAAAACCCACAACACCTCAACAGAGTGTCAATTCACACAGATTGAATCTATCATTCRCGATAGGTTCAATGAAAGAAAGGAGTAGAAGCAGAGTTGTTCACTTAGTGAGCAGAAAATTAAATACAATGCCAAAATACAAAAACCAACCTGGTTAAACTGTCGATTCGAATTTTAATCTGCATGGAAAAACCTGTCCTTTAAGGTTTTATACGACCACTCTAAACACTCTATGAGTTTGCTAGTCTCAAAGCCCTAGGATTTGATGCAGTATATGATTTGGTTATGAACAGCGATAAAAAAACGAATATAGAGCACGGTCGATTCAGAAATCGGTAGAAAGAAAGAAAGATTCGAAAGCAGCGATGAGACGAAGAAATAACTGTTTGTTTTTTAGACGGCTTCAACCCAGTATAAATACTACGTGAAAACCCTAAAACTCTCCATGATCACCTCCTAAAAAATCACAGATCATGGTGAGAATTTTTCTCAACCGAATCATTATATCAAATGTGATTAGACTCAGTCAAATCCGGATTTTGTCTTTACGAAAAATCAGTTATTTTCTTCTCCTCTCGACTTTGTATCAAAAAGATACTCGGAGCTCGGGGCGAGGCTCCATCTGCTCCGATACAACGTGCAAAGTGTGCCTCCTCGCGCCACCTTCGCGAATCCCGCACCCTCGGCCTCGGACACGGCCACGGCCA